AGTTTTTAATGGCATTTTATCTGATTACAAATCTTAAAGTATTGTTAGGATCTATAATAATTTATTGTGAAACTTTATCCTTGGAATTGAGGCAAAAAACCTTCCTGAATATTGTTTACTTCTTCCATTTTTATAACTTCCTCACATGATAAACAAGGTGATGTCAAATATTAAATCATGTGATATAAGCAGTTGAAATTGTAAATCATATAGCAGTGATGGCCACCGAGTTAGTTTCATGTAAGGAACAGTCATTCCCAGTGGTCCAAAATTTGCAGTTTCAAATTGCAAGTCGTTAATGCGAAGATGAAAGATTTCTTCTTTCTTGTGATGTGTATGTAATCGATTTCAGAATCTACAATCAGGGAGAGAATAGGGGTCATAGAGTCAACCCAACTGCTGAGTAAGAGAATCAAACCTTCCAGGATTGGACCTTTGCTGTTAGGGAAGAAACAAAAACTTTCTAATTTACTTCATTTCAGGGTAGGAAATCAGTAAATATTACTAAAAATTCTTTTATTCACTCTCACTAATGAATGTTAGAGTATAATATAACTCAGTGGATGCAGAGAATACATATTGAGATAGATCACTGTCATAGTATATCATTTGCATGAAAATTCAGGAATTTGTTCCTCTTTCTGATTGATGTTAATTGATTTTGGCACCTAATAATTTACAGTTTGCGTATTCTCCAGTTACTAGTCCTTTAAAAAAAATCTTTACATGCACTGGACGGGCTCACTATTTAAGGTATGAGAGGCGAAATATTTTTTAGTGAGGAAATCTTTGTAACGTTAAAAATGTAATCTCTAATGCTTAGTAGATTTAACATGTGTGAATTGTTTAGTTCAAACAAACAGTGACAAAGTTAGGTTTCTGAGTTCCTGTTTTTCTCCTATTTCAAGGCTAAGGCAAGTTATGTTTCACTTCTTAGTCTGTGAGTAGCCAAACATACATTAAGAAGTTTGTTAAATTGTAATTATTTTCTAAGTTTTCTTTATCTGTACCTGACTACTTAAGGATAAATGTGTTTTACAAGCATGTACTGTGAAGG